CGGCGGGGCTCGGCGCTCCCGGGCTGCGGGGCGGCTGCGGGGTCCGAGCGGAGTCCCTCCCCTCCCCCGGCTGCTTCGGTCCTCCTCCTCCTCTTCCTCCTCCTCCGAAGCCCCGCCGTTCCCCCACCCCCGGCGGTAACTTCTCCGAGGTTGTAGCCGGCTGCAGCCCTGGCTGGCCGCTGCGGGAGTGGTGTCGCGGCACGCCGGAGCTGCGGCGGGGTGGACCCGGGGATACCGGGAGGCATCAGGCAGGAGGAGTCCCGGCGGCGTGGCAGTGGCTTGCTTGCGTGGTTGTGCTCAGGCGGCCCAGCCAGGAGCAGTGTGTATGTGTGTTTGTGTGTGTGCGCGTGTGTATCTCTGTATGTGTGCACGAGCTTAGGGGACAAGGGACTAAAAGTAAGGTTATGGAAGAGGGTTGGTGGAATAAAACTGGGGTGCAGCCAAGGCATTCGACCCCACTGAAAAAACCTTTGTGGAGCAGAGAGCCGGCGGGGCCAAGAGGACGCAGTGGCCGCCAACCCACCGCCCCGTGCTCAGCCCCAGTGTCCCAAGGACAGGAAGTGTCGGAGCTAGGAGAGTTTCTAAGATGACCCTCCTTCAGGGACCCGACTGAGTTGCGGCTTGAAGTTGGGAAATTTAGGGAATCGGGGGAAATGCGGGAGTTTTCTGTGGCTGCTTGCGACTGCTTTCCCAACAAAGGAAGGATGAGACGAAATTTAAGCACTTGTCCACCGGACCTCATGGGCCATCCAGCTGGTTTTGTGCCCTTCCTGGTTGGTGACACTCCAGATCTGACAGCAGTTACCTGTGGACACGCGCTCTGGAGCCCGCTGCTGCCACCTGCGGGTGAAAAGCTGAAGGGAGAAAAGTGCTGGACTAAGAGATGGTCCCTGGGGCCTGGGTGTTGAGAACAGTTTCATTCACAGCCCCAGCAGCTACTGGAAAGCATCCCTAATCTTGTTACAGAGTGAGGGTGTAGTATTGAGATCCTCTGCAAATTAAAGTCATTGGCGTAAACTACTGTGAAGTGATGAGAACTGTTCCCACATACCATCTTTAGAGATTTAAAACAAACAAACAAAAAAAAAAACCAAACAAACAAAAAAAAAAAAAAAAAGAAAAGAAAAGAAAAAGCTAAACAACAAGTTTACTGAGGCAAGAGAGGCTTTACCCTACTTGGAAAATGCCATTTGTGAAGGATAGCTTTACCCACACAGAGGACCTCTAATGATGGCTTCTTTGAATAAGCATTGCATTTCAGAGTAACTAAATAGAGAATGAATAGTGCTTAGGGGCTATACTCTTGAGAGGTCACACTCTATGGTCAAAACTGGTTTGCCATCCTAGAAAGCCAAAGAGATTTGATCTCATAAATTTATTAGTGCTCATACTTTATTATTGTAATGGGAGTGTCTCTTTAAATTGTCCCATTTAAAAATGAGCTTTTCTAATGGTTCCAGTGGTTAACGAAATTCCAAGATCTCAATGCGTGGGGTTACTCACCTTTCACAGCCTTCACACCCTTTGGGTGAATTAAGCTGGGTGTATCTACTAGTATTTTGTTGTTTTTCATTTCTCTCCGACTGCTTTTACCCAGCTGCCTAGTGGCTGCTGGGTTCCAGGTACTTTTCGTGGACCGACTAAACAACAGGAAGTGAAAGCTAGTGATGTCTACTGAGGAATCCGCTGCTGTGTGGTCTAGTCCTCTGTTGGCTCTTTAAATTTACGAGAGTAGCAGACAATGTATGGATTCATCCATCGCTTTGCAGTGGTCTCCCTTCCCTCAGTGGGAGAAATCATTAGACATATAGGAAAGCATAATGCTGTCTGTAGCTCGCTATCTCTTTCTCATCGCCGAACCATTACCTTTGAATACATGGCATTCAAGACCCGTTTTCACCTGTCAAGAGGTTGGAGAATGATGACTTCAGCTTTTCAACACACACATTTGGGAAACCCAAAAACATAGATTAGTTCATGTCTTTGGCTTCCCCACCAGCACTGAGACCTGACTCTCTACAATGGTAACCATCTCATTTCATCTCTTTGTACTTGGTACCTGCCTCTAAGGAAACCCCAACCATATATCTTTTATCTGTATTGTGTGCAGCTAGTATCTACTTGCAGAATCTACATCATGTTGCCTCATTCCTTACAAGAAACCTGAGAACTGACACAATGCCAGTTCCCAAGTGAGAGAAACTCAAATATTAGGCAGGTCAAGAATTTCTACGAAGGGGTCACATGTTCTTGGTGACAGAGCTGTCAAGTCTGAGTGCTCTTTAGTTAAATAAAATTTGGTGTTCCAACCCACTGTGCAATATGCTCTCATTGATATTTTGATGAATTTCTCACTCGTTTTCTTCCATTTTCACCCAGAAGTGATGATAAAAATATTTAAAGCATCTTTACATATTTAATTCCATATGAAGCAAATTCCCATCACACTCTTTAGATACAGCATAGCTAATGTCTGGCTTCCGGAAAGGTGCCCTGGTTAGGGATGCAATTCCATCCCTTGAGGTTGCTGTGCCCTTCTTGTTCCATTTCCTTTTGTCCCTGGAGCTAAATGCCTTCCTGGAAGAAACATTAATCACAGCCGAGACAATCATGACTGTTCCATAGGAGTGCGTAGAGGGGAGAGATGGCTCAAATTGGAATGTCGATTGCATTTTCATTTAGAAAGAAGGTTGCAAACTATTTAGCTATGAGGTGCTAAGGGCTTTCCTTGACTAGTCTGGTGACATAACTATTGTTAATTACCTTGTTTCTGTGGGGGTAATGTGCTCTACACTGGCCATTCCTCCATCTGGGCTTACCTTGGCATCCTGCTTTGCAGTACTTTTCAAGGCTGAGTCACACCTCTCCATTTATCTTACAGGACAACTCATGGTCTGTCTTAAATACTCAGCCTCCAATCCAGTCAGAGCTGGCTCCACACTCGGCCACAGGGGGGAAATAATTCACGCCTGGGTGGGCATCTCCACTGAGCAGTTTTGCTCTAAGTTTGCATAGCCTCTATTGTATTTTAAAAACAGATCAGCAGCAATTATCCTCACGGTCAAAAAAAATAACATTTAATGGATTGGTTATCTTAAACAAACTTAGATGCTTTACTTGTTTAGACAATAATAGCTATTAACAAAAATAGCATTGTAAAAGGTTGATAGTAAATAAAATGAAAGTAATTACTCAGAATTTCTACCCGTGGATAATTTTCATACAGAATTTTCTCTTACGAAAATGGGATTATAGCAACAGAATATATTTTAACATGATGTGTTTTTGTTGATCATGACCATTATTAATAAGCTTGTGAACTCTTTAATTAGAGAGTTTGGATTCCTAGACAAAACTCTACCATGTATCAAACAATTTTTGTCAAATGTGCCTTGGTTTCTTAATATGCAATATGCCTTAGGACTGTTATAGATGTCAGTATACATAAAGCTTTCAATACGGTGCCTATTACATAGTTACTATAGGTTTTTTACTGGTTAGCATGATTCTGCCCATCACATATCTTTAACACTGTTCACAATGTCATTTCTCACAGTTTCTCAGATTCAGGGTCAGGAGCCTTAGTAATTGAGCTGGCCAAGCCTAACTCTCACTTTTAGTATTTTGGAACACAACCTGCTCCTGTGTTACCCAGCAACCTATGATGTCATCATGTGTCACCAGGCAGGTGGCCACAACTAGAAGGCATGGTTACCTTCCCCCTTAAAGGGCTGACCCCTGACACGTGGTCCCTCTCTTTATATTCTCTCTCTTTACTTTCCCCCCTCACTCTTCTCTTACTCTTTCTCCTTTCTCTTTCTAACACTAACAATCACAATCTTAATTCTAACACTCACAATCTCTTAATTCACATTTTTGTCTCCCTACAGTTTTGTTTGTAGACAAAATAATCGTTCCCTAAATGTGTCCTCACTGTAATTATTGAAACCTCTCAATTTTGAGTGAGTATGTCACACCATTAATAACAACTGATTTTGCTGAACTAATTAAATAAAATGAGTGAATATGTTGGATAATCTTGGTGGTCCCAATACAAACTGGAATCCTTAAAAGCAGAGATTTTTTTTTCTAGGTGGGAAGGGGGAGATGGTTATTTTTTTAAATATTAATTACAGTTTATTCGCTTTATAGCCTACTCCCTCATTACCTCCCAATCCCACCTTTCTTCCCTTTTCCCTTTCAAGCCCCTCTCCAAGTCCACTGATTGGAGAGGTCATACTCCCTTCCATCTGACCCTAGCTTATTAGGTTTCATAAGGACTGGGTGCATTGTCCTCCTCTGTGGCCTGGCAAGGCTGCTTCCCCCTCAGGGGTAGGTGGTGAAAGAGCCGGCCACAGAGTTCATGCCAGAGACAGTC